ATGAAAAACAAATTCTTAAGACCTCCTTTTAATCTTTACCGGGTAGGACATCCTATAACGAAAAACATTGGAGCAGATGCCAAAGGACATAGAGAGGAAGGGTGAGTTCCAGCTGCTGTATGGATTGTTCACCCTCCAGCAGCCCCAATACTATTGTCATCAAAGGAGGATAATCAATCGACAATCTTTGATTACACATCTATTGTTAAAAAAAAAAAAAGGAAATTTTTTTTTCAAATATTTTTATATTCAGTACCTGAATATTATAAAAACCTGATATGGAATAAACAATGCGCTTGAAGAGGAAATGGTAAAAAAAAATATATATACTAATACTAATTTCTTCTAAGTACAAAATTAGAAGAGAAAGAGAAATTTATCGAAATATCTTTAGAAAGTGTTCCGCTGTTATTTATTGAACACGTCCACTGTATTTTATCTATTTTTATGAATTAGGTTAGGAAGAGATAGTAGGAAATATGAGCAGGAATAAGAGAAATGTATAAGGGGAAAGAATGTAGAGAAAGGGAAATAGAATGTTAATGTAAGAAATAGTGAAAAAAGAAGAAAAAAAAAATAATACACATTATTAAAAATAATGGAAGGAAATGGTCTGGGGTAGCTGTCATAAATGGGCTAAATAGTGGCAAAACTATGTTATTAAAAGCCAACGTTTCGACCCGACTTTGCAGGTCTTCTTCAGGGCTAGAACGGACAAGATACAAAAAGATATAGAGAATAGTGAAAGTTACATAATATTTATACAAACAAATTATAAACAATGTGAATAAGCTTATTAAAATTATAAACAGCAAGTACATTAAAATATAAACGAGTATGTTAAGTAACAAGATCCTAAACTGAAGTAAATAGATGGTAACAATTGTTGTAATGTAATATGTAAAATATGCAAATGTGAATATACTTCTACAGATCTACAGGAGACATTGAAAGAAAAGGAAAAAGGATATAATATGAAATAATAGACATAAAGGAATGTGGAGAAAGAAAAGAAAAAAGAAAACCAAAAAATAAATAAACGTTTACCGTCGAAACGGTGGCTTTTAATAAAATCTCGTTTCTTTATAATGCAACGGTCAACTATCAAATATTCAATATTAAAAATAATGTTTACTATGCTCAGATATGTTTATAATACTGTATATTATTTTTAAGAATTATCAAACAATGATTGATAAGTATGCTGTGTTTGTAACAAGCCAATAGAATTGGACAGCACCCTTTTATGAATATAAAGTGATTCTCTTTTAAACATTTAATTGCCTTAACCTCAAAAATATAAACCGAAGCTTCCTAGAGAAAGAAAAACAAGAAGACAACATTTAATATTTTTGCGAAGTTGGTTGGGGTATTGAGTCAAAAAATAAAAAGTGAAAATAATTAAATGATATTTATTTTGATATTAAAAAAAAAATAAAAATCATTTACTTATTTTCACTTTTTACTTTTGAATGAAGATCCCAACCAACTTATCTTCAATTATTCACTACAAACAACCATAAATCCACTATTATTTAATATTTTCTCATTATTTCGAAAAGCCAAATTAAAGCAATTCTGCAAAAAAAGACGGACTTACAAAAACTACAAACATTTCATCCAAAATTTTACGACTTATTACAGGAGCTCCTTGTTAAGTCAACAACAAAACTTTACATAACGACTTACGACAACCAACTATTGACCAACACATACTTGATCTCTACTCCAGATTTCATCTTAAACTACACGAACATGACAACGGACTTATTAACGACATGGCCACAGCTGAAATGCCTATCAGGAAAGGACTAAAGAGGAGCTGGACTAAAGAGAGATCACCTTTCCTGAATTAAGGAAATAAATCAAGACCAGGAAGAAGTGCTGATGGGTACTATTTTTTTTTCCATGCCTAAAAATCTCAGTTTTTTGTTATTAGTTACAGCACATCTGCTTATTGTCAAGCTCGTGACAGGTATGGATGAAATATGAAAAAAAAAAAAAGTAATGTTTAATTTATTTATTTATTTTTGTTAACAGCCCACATACAGATAGAGTTGGGCTCAGCGATACTTATTTAAATAGTAGTTTAAAATAATTTACAATAAAGTAACTAACATTAAAGTTTCAAATATTAAGTTATTCAAACAGAAAGTTAATAATATATATATGTAATTTTTATTACTGTTATTTCTTTCACAATTAAGGACATTAGTAATAGAGTAGCTCATTCACACTTTATGCACAGTAAAAACAAATAAATTAAACAGCAAAATAATGATACCAAACTTAAATGTATATAAACAAAAGAGAATTCAACTAATAAATATGAAAACTTTGAATACAAGCATAAGTTAATATCATAATGTCCAGAACGTGTGGTTAGAATAAATTCCATAGGAGCCATTCATGGAACCCTTAAAAATGTCTGGGATCACGTCCGGCTTGTACAATCTATTGATTTATTTCTTCGAAACGATAAAGGATTTTATTCATTCCAGCTCTCGGCTAAAGACCATAAATGAAAAGGCTGGACGGAGATAAATCAACCATTCCTGGCAAAACATAGCGAGCGAAGCAGAACAGAATAAAGGGAAGAATCAAATCCAATTGGTTAGCCGAGGATACAGCGCTCTGACCTCAGGGGCACAATAAAAATGATTATACTTAGTAACGGCTTTTATCATTTCTGATTCATTTCATCGTCTCTTCCCTTTATTTTCCTTCATGGTTGGCTAGCTATTCTCTTCGCAATATATCAAAAAGACCGAAAAACTGCGGCGATTTTAGTACTTTACGTTAGACAACTTCAAACTAGTTCTTAAAAAATAAAAAAATAAAAAATGTTTGTCAACGTCCATCGATCTCAATATTATTCTCCTGAAACGCATCTTAAATGTAAGGAATGATCTAAACACGAGCTTAGGACCCCAAGAAAAGGTGGAAAGGATTTTGTCTATTCAACTTCTCTAGTAGAAGGAATTTATTTAATTGCTATAAATATAGATTACGATTCTACAAACAACAAGGATAATGAAATTGATTTCTTTTTTAATTTTAAACAAAACACTTTTTTCATGTTTGTTTATTTTTCATTAGCATTATAATGGGACACCACATTATATTTATAAACATTATGTATTGAATTGAATATATATATATATATATATATATATATACATATATATATATATATATTCAATTCAATACATAATGTTTATATATATATATTGCTTAACAATATATATATATTGCTATTTTTAATTAAAAATAAATGTAAATTGCACACATATATTCAATTTAATTTTAATAATTTTCAATTTTTCGTAACTTAAATAATTAGATATTAATTATTTATAGTGCTAGATTAAGAAATATCAAGCAAAAACTAACAAGAGCCCCATGCGGCAACGACGCCGCAGGCTCCCCACTTGTGTTATAATGTTATCAATTATATTGAAATATCACGGGACCTCAAATTACGGGACGTGATGTTTTTAATATTTTAAAGAACGGGAACCGTATCAACACTGAATTGAAGTGTTTGGCATTTAATATCAGCAAATAAATTTATATAACCCCCATGAAAAAAAAGGTATCAATTTATCAACATTTACCAATAATGAAAACAACAATTTATTTATAGAAACTATAAACATAAAAATCATTTAAATAGCTTAAGATAAATAAATATATATATATATATATATATATATATATATATATATATATATATATATATATATATATATATATATATTAAATTAATAAATAAAACCCTATAAAAAATATTAACAATTATTATTTAAAAGACCCATTATAAAGAAGTCGAGAAAAATTAATTAAATTACACTATATAAAAAAATAAAGGAAATCGAAATAGAATTAATAATGAGTGTAACCTAAAAAAATAATTTAAATTTTTACTAAAATCTAAAAAACAATAAAAAATTATTACTAAAATAAGATAAACCTCATAAAAAACCTACATAAGATATAAAAGAAAACTAGATTATAATCCTTAAAATTACAAGAAAAACAAAATATAATTTATGTACATCAGAAAACTATATATATAATTATACATACATATACACATATATACATACACACATACGCATCCACACAAATTATATATATATATATGTATGTATAAACAATATTTGTCAGATTCTGCCTGAGATTAAAAACAATTAATTTAAATTTTTTTTAGTTTAAAAATTATCTGAATTTTGTTTAACAATCTCACTAGTGAGTAGACATTTTCCGGCAAATTTAGATGAAAATGAACACAAAATTGCTACATTTAGCAACGATGGAGCTATTTATAAAAAAAAAAAAAAAAAAAAAGAAAGAAAGATATTATCGAAAATTAAAACTTTCTGGTGTCAAAAAGGAAGTTCTTATATTCTTTATCAAAATTTAATTACATTAATGTTACAAAAACGGTAATTAAATTAAGTTGAAATGTATTTGACTGTTAGCGGAGATATTTAAGCATTTTTTAAAGAATTTTTAAGTGGTTCCGATGCTACTGATTTAATGAAGAAAATCTTTTACAATGAATTTGATTGTTTTCACCTTTGCATATGGTCTGATGGAAGCAATTTCGTCCGAATTAAAAAAAATCTTGTCTGATTTTTAATAAAGGGTTTTTGATAAGATATTTCTTTGTATACATTTCTTTTAAAAGAATGCTGATAATACATAATCATACAATACCATTTCTAGGAATTGTGGGAGAGAGAATATTGAGAACAAATAAATATTGTCTAGCTGTAGAATCTTTTATTGTAACGAATGAAGGATTCCAAAGGTAGATAAGAAAAAAACTGCAAACCTACGTAATATCAGTAAATTTTTTTTTCCCACTAAAAACAACACCAAGAGAATGTCGAGAGAGAAAAAAATGCTGATATATTTGCAATGGTTGTTGGACGAAGAAGTACCCAAGTTGCATTGACAGAGTCGTAAATGAACGACACACGATGGTATAGCAGATGCCAAATCATGCCCCCATGACGAACCGTGAACCGAACGGCTCACGAACACAACTGCTTGTACAACACCAAACATCATACAACACTCCCATATATCCTCATTTTAACGGGTATACTTTCCTTTTTATGGCTTCTTATTATGTGCGTTTTTAAAAGTCCTATCTTTTATTTTCATTTGATATCCTTTCTTTAGTACAGGATCTCTGATACTGTTTCCTATACGAGCTATAAACAGGACAATGCCGCAAGCAGGAAGTTACGAATACTGAAAAAACTTTGCTTCAGTTTTTTTTGTAAGTATATCGTCGGTTTATTGCAAAAATTCATCAACTGACATTGCATAAGCTTAAATGAATGAGAACTTAAATAATTTCCGTTAATGAAATCAAAAATATTGTGAGCTTTAAGATATATAAAACAATTTGTTTCATTTACATTTTTATCGAGAAATAGTGTTGAAATTCACAAAAATGTTCTTAAAAATTTGACCCCATCAGAAATGTACTTTTTGAAATAAATCGACGTTATACTACAGTTTTTTGTTTTTATAAATATTTTTATTCCAACAACAATAATGAATAAAATATAATCCATTAGACACTATGAGGATCAATAAATACCTACATAAATGTAATTTCGTATCAGGAACCAATAATACCTTCTACAAATTTTTCAGCCAGAAAAAAGTTCTTATATTAATACAGACAAACAAAATGCAAGCTTTTGATGTTTGAGTAGTTTTGTGACATTATTCTTTTGCGCCATTGTTTTGATAGAATCTAATTTTGTCGCTAAAGTAGAATAAATTTATTTAAATTTTAAAGTAAATTAATCAAAGTAAATTTAAATTAATTAACGTAAATTAATTAAAGTAAAATAAATTTTAAAAGTTACCAAATAATAATAATGAAGTGACATCTACAAAACCAAGGCGGAAATGGAACGAGAAATACATATATACGTATTAATAAATTATTACTAAATATATAAAACCTCTATTTAGAATTCTTTGATACTGAATAGGAGGTATTTGAAATTTAGAAGGGTATTTGAGCAACAGGCAGGATCGGATAAAGATCTGTTGAATACTGCGACATAAATAATACATTTTAACAATACGATTACTACACAAATATATATTCTTTTTTTTTCGGTTGGCGCTACAAACCATGAAGATCTTTGGCCGCGAGATGTTTTCTCCTTAAGGACGTGCATTGCTTGCGGAAGCAGGGATAGCCTGAAGGGGGTCACCCAACCTCAAGTTGCTACGAACCATGGTCTCCATGGTGTAGCGGCAGGCCACCCGTAGCTAGTATATCCCTTCTTTGGATGGAATCTGGCAGTGTCCTTCCCACCGACTCACTCGGGTTCAAGGACAGTGACAGATCTGTCTAGATCTATGAATTGTGGCTGCTCAGAGTCAGCAGGCGCACGACGGCCTATATTTCTTTCCCCAAAAGAGACCGTTCATGGACCAAATCTAAGGGAGGCTACTAATATCCTGGTAGACCACATTCCAATTCCCGATTTAAATACACGGAGAAAGCTCATCAGTTCTACGGCCGGTCGGTATGAGTTGCCTCCAGTAGCCTGACGAGCCTCACAGACCGATATCGATGTATATATATATATATATATATATATATAAATATATATATATATATATATATATATATATATATATATATATATATATATATATACATATATTATTCATATGTTTCTATTTTATTTTATTTCCCATAATTAATCCTGCTGCTCAAAAACCTGAAAGCAAGAATATTTTCTTTTTTTCTGTTCACAATGCTTAAGTTGAAGTAACAACAACACTATAATTATTTTGAAAATTAAGGTATTGTGCAATATTTAGCTAGAAGGAGAATGAGACAACAGAATAATATAAATAAAGCATTGCATTGTGAATCTATTGTGATACAGTTGGGAGTTTTTCTTTGGAAGGTAAATATATTTGGCATTATGGACATAGGAATCGTTCTTCAGTAGAACATTTTTTATCTTCATTAATATGGCGAGGAATATCATGAATAACGCAAGATTTCTCTTAAAAGGTTTTATGATCTAAAAAAAAACCTAATGAGTGAAACATAATTAATTGTTCGACAGCGATTATTACTCGTTACGTTTTACCAGAAATGTTGTTCCATTTTCAATTAATCTGCCATGTAAAATCACAAAAAAAAAAACAATAACTCATTATTGAATTAAAATAGAAAGAAGAAAAAAAAATATGAGAGTAGAAAAAAACAACATGCTACGAACAATTTCGCTCCCTATTTTTACAAATATCCTATTAGATATAGCTTTTCCAGCAAATACATACGAGCTTCATTTTTATTAATTTCACTCTGTTTTTAATTTAAAATAATTAAATATATTGATATTTTCTGAAAAGAAAACTGGATATACGTGAGTCGTTTATTTATTCAATGAACGCTAATAGATGTTTTTTGTAATTGATATAATTATAGATTCCCATGGGAAAATACTCAATGAGTCCAATGGTGCAATTGTTTGTTTTCAGAAAAGAATTTAAATATTAAAAAAAAAAATGGTGAGGAGATATGTTTATATCTGATACCGGCGTTATTTTTTCAAGGACTGTAATGAAACTTGTACTTCTTTAGCATACTTAAAAAACCATCAAAAGTATATTCGACCGTATTATTAAAAAAAAAATTCATTTATTTCTTAAATAAAAAAAGTTATTTTTTTTGTATAATTCTTGTTTACTTCCCTCCTCACCGAATCATACATCATTTTTTCTCTCTGAAACAAAACCCAGTCAATATTTTTTTAGTTTTTCAATATTCTTTCTAAAAGGAACACTATTCATGTGTCAATGTTTTTTTTAATTCCTACTGAAATAATCAGTGATATTCGTAAAATATGCTCCACAAATAAAAAAATTCTTGATGTATTTTAAAAAAATAATTTGGAATAGAAAATATTTTTTTCCTCGTTTTTTTTTTTTTTAATTCCTGGTTACTAATGATTAGGATTTACTTTGGAAATAAATGACTCATATATTCCAAAAACTACACCCTACCCCACAATACCGCAGAAGTGAGCCTTATAATATTTGATGATAGACTAAAATGGAGCACAGGCGGATTTACGGGGAGATCTTTCGGGTTGAAGCCCTTTCCCACAAAAAAAAAAAAAAAATACATTTAAAATATAACCATGTGTAATGAAAAAATATTTTAAAATAATCTCTAAAAGTGTTATAGTTCGGGTAACATTTAATATCACTTCAAGAATCACTACTCAACACTACAAGAACACCATTTCATATAAGTAGCTGGGATATTTTTTCTTCTAATAATCGTTATAATATATATATATATATATATATATATATATATATATATATATATATATATATATATATATATATATATATATATATACATGTATATATAAAGCTTTCAGGGTGAAGCTCCACCACAATTAAATCCTGGATCCACTAGTTAGCAAGAGTGCCTAGGAGTTTCATGGCGCAAGTCGCGCCATCAAAAATTTTGAGGGAGGCACCTATGACGAGGTTTTGAATTTTTGAGGAGGGAGGGGCACTTTTCGACAGAGATATGAATTTTCTTAGTGAAAAGTTTCACGGCAGGAACCAAGAGGAAATTATCGACCAGACCAATTGTATGTCATCTGAAACGTTTCTAATCTACTTTTCCATGAACTGTTTTTGAGAAGTGGAGAGCAATAAAATTCCTCGTGATAAGAGGGCGTGGAGGGGGAAAGGGAGGGAGGGGGTCCTTTCGCCATCGACCTTAGGGGAGATGGGCACCCCTGGTGATATGGATAATGTATGGCGGTGGTTCTAATGTATTTATTGCTTTTACAATCAAGAAATCAAGATACATTGTACCAAATAACATTAACATAACATAAAATATTTATTTATTAAACTAAATTGTAATATAGGAAGGAGTTTATAATAACAATTCTTATCTAAAGGCAGTTACAATCTTTAATAAAGAGAATGTAATAGCCTCTGTAGGAAGGAAAGGGGTTGGCTCAAGGCTCTTAGGGCTAAATAAGATCGTACATCTCAAACTAATGCTCACACTCTAAAATTCTATGTCGCCCTCCCCCGCCCGATAAGCTGAAACAAATGTTCAATTTTCCTTCAGTTTTCCTTTACATTTATCCTCCAAGTTCTATATTAAAATCACCTCGAAATAATAACCTTGTGTCGTGTTTTTGTATATAAATTATAAATATCTCTAGGGGAATCACAAAAACTTATGACCAGTGTTGGACATTATTGAATGAATTTTTATTCGAATAATTTATTCAATAAATTTTCAATCACTAATATTTTCGTAATTGACGATTCTTAGAATAACCTGAAGTTTTTATTTATTCTTAAAATTAATCACAAAAGAAAAAAAATTGGTTCAATAAAATATGCTCTGAATAAATATTTATTTAAATGCAAATATCCACTAAATAAAAATGTATTCAGAAAAAATATTTCTCTGAATAATAATTTATTCGAGCATCAATCGTTCCAAAAATAAATTTAGATATTAAGATTTTCCAAAATAATAGTCCATTGAGTTATAAGAGGAGCTTTTTATGAAAAAAAAAAACCATTAAAACTATCACATCTCATATATAGATTTATATTATAATCTTTCGTAAATTTTCGAATTAAATCAATGTAAGAAATTACTATGATGTTTTCGGGATAAAGAATAAATATCTCATTATTTTTAATATGAGAAGGAGTTAGTCGAGGGTGCGGTCAAATAAATAAAAAAAATTAAAATATATAAATTATTTTAATTTTTGCCGACGTTTCGACCCACTTTGCAGGTCGTCTTCAGGGTGTAGGATGTGGCACTGCGGGAGGCAGTTGAAACACTGGTGTTTCAAATAATTTATATATTTTAATTTTTTTTTTATTTATTTGACCGCACCCTCGTCTAACTCCTTCTCATATTATATCAACGGTCAACCATCTCTACATCATTATTTTTAGTGATTGAAATAAAAATGAATATCAATCAATAATTATTTATTCGTTATTCGAGTAACATATTCCCAACTGTGCTTATAACGATATTATATCGGTCAATGGAAAAAGAAATATTTTTAAAAATTTAAAACTAGCGTTTTGGACGCCTTGGAACGGATCTTCGAAGCCATAGCCTAAAAATGAAAAAATATACATGAACTGAGATAGACATTAATTTATAATAAAATAATTCAATACATTATAACAACTAAG